GGGAAAAAAAAAAAAAAAAATAGTGCCCCAATCTGTAAAACGTGGTTGTTGAATCAGCCGCGTCATGTTACATCTAATGACAAAGTGTGCAGGTGCAAAAAGAGAGTGCACGAGATGCTCTCTCGCACACACCAGCTGGCTCTCTTAATACTTATATCGTCTGCTGATGATTACAATATGCACCCCCGCTGTTCGACAAATATAATTTTTGTCAATTGTTTATTCGTTGTGCTATTATTTTTATTTTTTTATTTTTCATACAATTTTTTTTGGACAATGCGAACTGTTTCTGACAATGATTTTCTTTTTCTTTCAGTGCAATGAACAAGTCAAGACTGAAATACTGTATATTTTTTCACTACTTACTCTTCTTCGTCATGCTGGCTAAATTGTCTGCCGATATTTTAGACCGCTTGAATATATTCGTTTTAGAAATAGAGGAGCTCCAAGTGCCACAGGTAGGTAAAAGCAAATCATTGGTAGAGTGACAATACATTGTTGTTTAATACTTATTTATGATACAAGCGATTTTATTCCTTTAAATAAAGTACATAATGAAGCCGGATTTTTTAAACTTATTTATAAGATGTAACATTTATTTACGAGATTTCATTTTCATGTTATTACATCTTGTTACATACATGAACTATAAAATTGTGGCTATTAATATTGTTATTTATTTCTCAATTCTGAAATCTGAAACATCCAATACTCTGGGTGGAACATAGTTGAAGTAGATCAATTCATTCTGGAGAATCTATGAAAACAATAAAAAAAATTATCGTTTATCTTTCAGTTCTAATTGATTATTTGTAAAGGGATGATAGAAAAATGTATATATTTACAATGGTGATAGTGGCAGTCAAGCTCACAAGACCAACAGCCAATACAGTATTGTACTTTTTCTGCATTCTGTTGAAGTTCTCTTGCCATGACCCCTCCGGAACACAACATTCGTCAAAAGTTGGGTATTTGAAATTGGAATGGCCATGAGAATCGTTGCGTACCTGCATTCCCACTAAAATATCCGCAAAAATAAAGATTTTTCTACAAAGTATTCATACAAAACGAGTGAGAGCTAAGTATTATGAACATGAGTGTCATTGACGCAAAAACAAGCTGACACTTGCAACTGATTTGTAAAATCGTTCACTACAAACACAGTAATAATCAATACAAATTAAATAAAAATAACATCACGTGATCATGAAGACAACTTGTCAAAGACATTTGTCTTAATTGTTGGATAAAGCGGTACAAGGAACAACGTTGTAGGTATACGTTACAGAAGCTGTGGTGGGCAGGAAAAACATTGAATTATATAACTCGTCACGAACACGGGGAAATAAATTACCTCTCTGGAAAGCACGTCGAGCGAGGGGTCGAACAATTTGGCCGAGCATTTTCACGTTTCGTAAGTAACAAAAAAATTTCTTCTTTTTCTTCTTGGGGGGGTTTGTGGCTCCAGTGAGGTTACTTTTGTGTTAGTAACGCAGTCCGAACGGTCATTAACAAAACTTATTATCGTCTGCTTGCTCGGTGAGGTGCGGCATCGACTAGGCGAAAGAGCTTAGACTGCAGTCCCATGGGAACTACATTTTGTAATGGAGCTTCGAATGATTCGATCGTCGACAGTGACGTCTACCGAGCAACCGACAAAAGCTATACCGCTGCAAACGCGCGCGGGCGGGGGTGTTTTTAAAAAATGCCGTCTGCTCCTCAAGTATTTTTTTCTCTCAGGATGTAAACATACAACATATATATATATATATATATCTATGGACGTTTCTTATACTTGTATTTAGTACTGAACTTTTTTTGTATTGCAGGAGATAGTATGCTTTTTTTCGTGTCTATACATGCGGGCGGTGATTAGTTACCAGGCGACATAAAAAATGCAAGACCTAAAGGCTAACAATTTTTTTTTATTTTTTTTTTTTTATCACCGAGGTCGATGTATATACTATGGTTTATTTACGGCTACGTGGGCTTGGAAAGTTTTTTCTTTTTGTTACACTTGATTGGTTCAGCGTACAGTAACGTAATTATTAATAAAGTTACTTTTTGGTTGTCACACTCGCGTGAGGTATTACGAGTTATTGTAGTAAACACAATCGATAAATATCAAAGTAAATAAATAATGTGTATTTCTTGAATTTTTCTTTTTTTTTTCCATTTTTTACTATAACATGAACATATATGTATCTGAGCAATCTTCATATGAAAAAAGCGTGTTAAAAAACAAGTATTTTTCTTTGGTTTGTCTAGTTTTCTTCAAATAATAATTATACATGCACACAAAAGTATCTAGAGCCTAAAGAAAATTTTATTGCAGTATAAATTTTGTAAAAAAAGAAAGTCGTACTTGTAAACTCGCTGCCACTGAACCCATTAACTGTAAACTTTTTTATGAGGGTAATAACATCATTTACAGTACTTACTAGTGCATGACTGAATGACTCTGTCTACGGTGACAAGGAAGGTCGGTTTATTTCAGCTTGGCTATTGACAGCGAGAATTTTACAAATTAAAAAAAAATGTATGTATCCAACGTGAATACATACCTTATATCTCAAATGCGAAGTGCGCCGTTAAACATAAGTATATACTTTGATAAAAGTGTCGGCGATAATTTTGTTATTGGAACGAAATACTTACTATCTTCTGTTCAATAGTGACGAAATCACTCTTTTACTCAAACAAGAGGGATTTGTTTACAAAATTTTTTTTTTTTATTTTACGTTAAAACTATACTTTGTTATTTTCATTTTTTTAACTTTCGTAAATTCTTACGCAGCTACTCGTAATAACAGTAAAAGATTTAAAAATGTTTTTTTTTTTTTTTTCTTCAAAACTTTAGGTCAGATGGTGGCAGCAGTGAAAGCCCACTTCTTGTAGAAGAGGGTGAGGCTGTTGGCCAACCACATGGTCCAAATAACAAACACACTCACAGCCACAGCCATGTTCATCCTCTTCATGGTCAACAGAGCCATCACCATGATAAGCCCAAATATGGGGAATTAGTCCTACTTGGGTAAGAAATTTGCAAACTTAAGTATATATTGCACTGTCTCTTTTCCGTTTGTATGCAAAGATTGTCATAACTTCTGTATTGTCATTGAAGCAAAAAAGGTCAATGGTTTCTTATCTGGGAAAAATAAAGAGATAATCTTTAGAAATTGTTATCAGTACTATTATTATTATTATTTTGATTTATGTTTATGTAAAAAGCTTCCACAATATTACCTTGGTATTGTTAGTCCTTTAAAATAATGAAACGTTTATCTTGAATGAATTAAATAAAAGTCTAAGGTTGCATGTATCCATTTAGAAATTCACTTGGTAAAAAAATTTATCAATTTTTCATGAGTTTACTCTTAGATTTTGTTTAAAAAAAAAAAAAAAAATCATTTTATTCCAAATTAAATTGTGGGCTTGAGAAAAAAAATATTCATTTCAATAAAATGCTTCAAACGTTTTCCCTAATCAACATTTGAAACAAATCTTGATATCCATGCCCAATTACATAAATCAACACCTACTTTTTTCTGCTTGTGGTCAATGGCTTCTCAAAGAAAATTTACCTAGCAAAGATAAAATACCTAACTGGCTGATAATAGGATCGCAAATCCAATTTGAAGTGCAGTAAAACGATTACCTAAAATAGCATGAAATATGTATATAGAGTACCGTACTCCTGCAGTGAAATAGCTAGACAGTTACTCATTTAATATAAGACCCGATTATTAATTGTCCTCATTACCTAATTTGTTGAATCAGTACTTTAAATAATTTAATATCTTGAGAGCATAGTAAAATTAAAATGAGGAGTGATAAACAATGCATGTTTTTTTCCGTCTCTCAACGTTTCATCTTGATTATTTTCAATAGTCTTTCTATCCTCTTATAAGTAACTGTGAGTGCACAAATAACTTACATTTGCTATTGGCAATGCACTTTCCAATAGGAATAAAAAAAAAAGAAAAAAACACTAACTGTTTCATAGTTGCAATGGACATCTTCCAAATGGTGATCGCGGACGAAGACGAAGTAAATTTGTGTTGACACTGCGGGACAAACCCAACGGAGTAAAACGTAGTAGGCATTATGTCGTGAAAACACCCCACTGCTCTCAAGCCATTTTAAACACGAAGCAACATTCGATTAGCTACACGTTATCGAGAACGCAAGCTGTGATTGTGGAGTACACAGAGGACGACGAAACAGACATGTTTCAGGTAAGAATTTTTTTTTTTTTTTACAGCACTGTATTTATACGCAGTAAACAATTTTTTTCAAGTTTTTCATATTCAAATTGAATGTATTTTCTGAATGAGCAGGTCGGACGATCTTCCGAGCAGCCAATAGACTTCGTTGTGATGGACACTACTCCCGGTGGCGAGGTAGTTGCTTCGAACGAAGGAAGAGTTGCTCAGAGTACCATCAGCAGGTTTGCGTGTAGAATTATCGCGGATCGCAACGAACCCAAAGTTGCCAGAATCTACGCAGCTGGTTTCGACAGCTCCAGAAATATTTTCCTGGGGGTAAGATTACATTCCTTCAAAGTTCGCAACGGTTGACGTCCTAGCAAAAATAATTTTCTATATTGCCAAGGGAATTAACTTAATTTAAAAATCATCTCACCGGCGTGAAATGTCAATAGCACTTGACGCGTGTTTGTTCTTGATGTGCTTACAGGAAAAAGCTACAAAGTGGCAGGAGAGTCGAGAGATAGATGGTCTAACGACCAACGGCGTACTGATCATGCACCCGCGAGGGCAATTCTGTGGAGGCGAGGCTGAGTGTGGCTACTGGCGAGAGGTCAGCGTAGGTGGAGGTGTCTTCTCATTGCGCGAAAGTAGAAGCGCACAGCAGAAGGGCCATGTTGTCGAGGATGAGGACAATATCCTGAAAGACGGTACTCTCATTGATTTATGCGGTGCAACTCTTTTGTGGAGGTCGGCTGAAGGCCTTGCAAAATCACCGGTGTGTATTTGCGCGTAAAAAATAACTTTGTTACTCTGTACATTGTATGCTATTTTTCATCCGTTGTAACTTACAAAATAATAATAATTATTCAGACCAAGCACGACTTGGAAGAACTGGTGGATGCCATAAACGCAGGGCGACCGCAGTGCCCCGTTGGTTTAAACACTCTTGTGATACCGCGGAGGGCTGCCTCGGAGTCCGCTCAGCAACAGCCTTACGTTTACCTTAAATGTGGCCACGTACAGGGCCATCATGATTGGGGTCAGGAAAAGGACAAAGCCACGCGCAAATGCCCAATGTGTTTCGTCGCTGGCCCAATCGTCAAACTCTGCATGGGAATCGAACCAGCGTTTTACGTTGACAGCGGCCCGCCGACTTATGCGTTCAGTCCGTGTGGACACATGGCGACCGAGAAAACTGTAAAGTACGTTGAAACCAAGATAGTGAAATTATGTTATTCAGATCGAAAAATAACTTGTTAACTTTACTCTTCAATTTTGTTGTTACAGATATTGGGAAAAAGTAGCAATTCCACACGGCACAAACGGCTACATTGCCATTTGTCCATTCTGCGCAACACCATTGGAAGGATCACCAGGATACGTAAAACTAATATTCCAAGATCATGTAGACTAAAATGATTCATACGTGCCGTGAGCTCGTAAAAAAAGCTCTGTACAGAAGTCACTATTTTTTTTTTTTTTTTTTTTATCTCGTTTCTTTACCTCGACTATGTCTTTTTTAAATCGAGGTAATAATAATAGAGCCTTCTCGTGCATAAGTTATTGGAAAAAAAATCTTCGAATTTTACCGTTAAGTAGAATGCCACAAGTTATTAAACGCTTAGTTGTCTCAACCGGCATATGCAGATTGTTTTTTAATAAGGCTATTGACAGTGTTATATCTGCCATAACAAAAGATAAACACTTTTACAGCTATCTCGCTTAGTTCAAGCCGAAGAATTTTTAATATTAATATTAAATGTAAAAGTGCAACTTGAATTAAATTATGTCAAAGGAGAAAAAAAATTTTTTTAACAAATGTGTCGTTACAATAATCGCATATATTTTTTTATATAAATAAAGTGGTATTATAATGAACTAAATAAACCAAATCAACTTTAAATGATTATTGATTACCAGTGTTCTTTGGTTCGTATTTTAAATTTGTAATGCTTAGGACTCTACTGTTATCAAACTCATTGATTAATTATTGGTAGTAACGATTAATTTTGTTAGGAAAATTTTTCATTGCTACTCTGATGATTAGGTAGAAGCCTTAAACTATAGATTTATTTGAAACAAATTATCGATATATGTACAAAGAAGCTGTGTTCTTTACAATAACCTGATGGGCTTCGAATAATCTTAGCCAAAGACTCCATCAATTTTTTATAACTTCCAGGATGTATATTTGCAAATTTGCATTCCACTGAAACTTCATAGACTATTATACTTATTATCCATTATTTATGATTTTGCTGCAAATAATGAAATAATGTCGTGAAAATGAGAAAAATAAAATATTTGTTTATACAAATCAGCAATGTCTTTATTATATACTTAACGTAGCCTAATACTTACAATTTTAATTTGTATTCACTAATAAGTAGGAAAATCAAGGTTTTACAGTATTATTTCTTCTTACTACGTGACCGTTAACACATAGATTAGAGATATTAATGAACTGACGAAAAATATATACTACAGTGTAATAGGGGAAAAAAAGCTGGAAATTTATAATCAGGGAATTGTATATAAACAATGAAGTAGTAAAATTCATATAAAATTTTTTTGTACAACAGCAAACTATGCTTTTAGTAAAAAGACGAAACATACAGACTAGCATTTCATTTAAGAACAAGCTGTTTTGATTTCGTCTCTAGATCTTTATACTTCTCTTCCCTTCTCTTTTCAAGTTATCAGCATACATTTTTTGAATATCCTGACATTTACATGATATCCCAATATTAGTAGCATAATTCTAAAGTGTCGCAGGGAATCCACTTGGAACTTTCTAAAGCATCCCACAAATTGTAATCCTGTTCAATGATTTCTCTGTTTAACTTGTCAACGTCAACTGGAATTGAGTGCTCTGAAACATTTTTAATCAAACATACGATTACACATTTTTTTTGAGTAATTATTCATTAATTTATAATCGGGAGTCAATGAAAAAATAAGCTGAATTCATGTTTGATAATTTGAGGTTCTCACGGACTTTTAATATGAATCACACAATGTTCAACAGCGCCATTCTATAATAATTCGTCTTATTTTTATTTAATAACATTATAAACGTATTATATTGCATAAGGATGAAACGACGATTTGCAAATATTATTGTCGCTAAAAAATGAATTGTACAGTTTAATAATAAATGTTCGGTACTTACCGATAAGTTCGAGTTCATCTTCTTCAGGCTTACGATCTGACACATAATTGCTGTACGAGTCTGATGTTGGTTCACTTTCATAACAACCATGCTGCCAGGCACTATAACTGCTCCAGTAAGAGGACGTATCATAGTAATTATAATCTGAAGATATGCCTGAAGAATAATCCGATGGACCCGAACTTGAGCTGCAAAAGTTGTGTTTCAATGTAAAAATTCAATTCAATTAACATCTTAAACCTTAAGCACGTAAAATATTCAAGGTGCAAATATCAAGTGCAAAATGTTGTATTGTTTGTGCTAATACTAGATATACTACAAAAAAAAGAAAAAAAATGCATTAAGTTGGTCAAATCAAATAAGCATTTTAAATATTTTAATTTATAAAGTTTATAAGATAGCTTACTCTGACATTTTACTCCACGGCCTTGGAACGGCATTACAGATTTTCAGCGATCTAGTCCCAAGTCCTATATATCCACTCATTGTGCTCAAACTGTCTTTTTGTTCTTCTTCATTGGCAAATCTAACAAAACCGTAACCTTTACTAAAACCAGAACTATCTAGTATTACTTTAGCTGTCCTGATAGAATTGTACTTGGCAGCAAACGTCCTGTAGAGGGAATAATCATCGACATCTGTTGAAAGATCGCCTACCCAGATGCTGTACTCCCTCTCGATCGATGGCTTGCCTGTGGTACTGGCGTGATTCAGTCTAAACCTGACTCCCTGTAAATAAGAAAAAAATAGTAAGACTACTAGATGAATCAATTATCATTATCTGTAAATGACCATTGGCATGAGTACGATATCCCATGTACCTCATAGAAAGGGATGATCATGGGACCCAATGATCTATCATTCATAAGTGGTATTCAAGATACAGTACTCTCGCCTGACCATTATTTGCTAATATAATGAAACAAGCAATAACTATTCAACAGCAAAGGGTGCAAAAGTATAAACAAAGAACTCTTTTCTGTACGTGATGAAAAAAAACTTACTGGACTAGATCCTGGAATGACTTTTCCATTTAATTTATGCATAGCATCTAACGCCATTTCGTCAGTTGGAAAGTGAACAAAACAATAACCAGCAGGTTCACCGGTATAACGATTTCTCATAACTTTAACTGTTTGTGGCTGTTCGCCCATTTTATGAAATGCACTCATTATAAAGCTTTCGGTCATGTATGGCTCAAGCTGAAAGTGTAAATATAACAACTTGTTCACTGGCAATCCTACCAAGTAATTATTAACCATTGAAACACATTTGCCAAAACTGTTTACAATTTGAGGTTAGCTTGGTATGATATGACATACATTCTTCCCCGAATCTGACATAAAACTTTCAGCTATCCATAGTTACAATTTTTAGTTATGTTATAAATAATGGAAAAACAAAAAATTTTCTCACCCCACCCATCCACAATTGACACAGCACCATTGGTCCAGACATCTTGTGTGCAGTTTATAATCAAATGACGCCAAGCTTAATTTGCACCTGTACTAAACTATATATAGGTAGCTAAATTCTGCTTATTTTCTGAGTTGAGAGCTTGAAAGTTTTATAGACCAAGAGCCAAGAGCTGAGCTATGAGGCCGAAGGGTGGTCAAAATTTTAACCAGCCGCCACTCTCACCAGAATTGAGGAACCTTATGATTCGTGGAGATCCGAAATATTTCGGTCATATTTCATTCATAATTAGGCCGTATGGTATTTTTTATTAACTAGCCGCAACTTGCACCAATAGATAGAAAATAAAACGTTGACAATTGATAGTGCCATTTGCGGCAAGATTAGAATGCATCTTGTACCCGAAAATCGACCTTCAGCTCTTGGTCTGATCGGGTGGCATGCATGGGGATGGGACTTGGGAGTGAAAACAGCAAAACGAAAGTTTTGACATGAGTTATGGAACATGGTAATTTGTGTGAAAAAAAGGTTAGGTAAGTTAGGTTAGGTGTGTTAAAATTGTCGGTAATTTGAACGGACTGCGCCGCAGTTACAGTAAACACGCGAATATTCTTGTCGGAAAAAATTGTTCTTTTGAATAGACTAAAATATAACAAAATCTTCTTGCCATGGATGTGCCAAAAAATGCTAAATATTTCTTAAAAATTTGCATGTATTGTAAATGTAAGGACAATTTAGTCGACGTACTTATGATAATTTTACTTAAGTGAATTAAAAAAGAAAACTAAATGTTTTTGGATCGGAATCGATGCAGTGATTATAATTTTAATTATATTTTTCGCGAAGGCATGCGTGATATCATTTACAGTATTGCTACATTCATAAATTTACAAATCTGTGGATTCTCTTAACAACTTATGAATTACAAATTTGTAGTGAACCATAGCTGCCGGACCAATCAAACTCAAGAATGGTGTTTTTCAATCACCTCCAACTTTTTATCAATAAATTTGCCATTACAATGTGTAATTCGCAGGTTACGTAATACACTTTACAATATTTAGCATTTTTTCATGTTTGCAATAATGACAAAGTGATCATAGTGAATCGTATACTCTTGTCGGCCGTTACAAGTACTTTATGATATTTCGAAGTATTTTGTTCAAGTCGATTAATTCATTTTTCAAAAAAGACCTATCAATGTCTTACTGTCATAAAAGTAAAATATTTAAAAATGAGTGCAGGTTAACGATTCTTTGAGTAGAATGTTAATCTTGAAGTAACTCGAGTGTAGTGATATTTTTTTACAATGTGAAGAAAGGGAAGATGCGTTACTTCGATTGGTGAACGTTTCTGCAATTGATATTAGGGTAAGCATTAATAGTTAAGCGCTGTATTCTTAAAAATTATATTTGAACGATTTTTTGTGTGCACATACATATACTATAGTAAGCGAGGAAAGTTATAGTACAGTTATAAAAAATTATATTTAAAGACATTATTTAAGGCATTTGTTTCCTTCAAGTACGATAAGTCTTACAATTAAAATGCACGTATCAAACAAATATACATCACCGCATTTTTTCATCAATTTCAAGTTTCTAACTTATTGTAACATTATTACGTGCTAAGATTCCGATAAAATGTCCTCTAAGGTCTTGTCATCGTGTAAAGGTGAGTGGCCCAACGTTGGGTCACTTTCCAGAAACTCGCGAAGCTCGGATTCAAGATCGTTAACACCGGACGTTTCCGTTGCACTTAAAATCGATGAGCTTTGATTCTGTCCCAGCACCATTTGTATTGGCAGCTGTCCTTGCCTCACATTATTTATATCCAAAGACATGGACATAGGTAGCATACCATTTGACTCCTGACTCGTGCTATTATCCGAAATTATTGAATTTTCTGTCACGATCGAAGGATTGTGTGTTATTGGCTCGACATCCATTGGTTCTGGTCCTCCTAGGGGTGCAATTCCCATAGCTTTTCTCAGCCCATCTACCGGCGCGATAGCAGAGGGCGGCAATTTTTTTGCTATATTAGCCAAGTTATCGGTTATCTTTTCGGCGAGCGTTACTTCTGTTTCAGAAGCTTTCTGAATGTTTGCCAAATGTGGTGGTGGGGGTGCTGAGAGACGGTCATGCTGAGTTTGCCTAAGATTGTTTAGTAGAGCCGACGTTTCTTCTAGATTTTTTTGAAGTGCTGAGCGTTCTTCGGATACTTTCAAGTCTTCTTCTAAAATTAAAAAAAAAATAAATAAATAAAACCAAATAATTTTGGTGAATAAATTTACCGTACATGTACGTATTTTATTGAAAAATGAATTAATATTTACCTAAGCCATCTAAAAAGTTGATATCGATGCCAATGTCGGATAGAGTTTTGAGCTGATTGATATCAACTTTGACCTTGTCAACAGGTGGAATGTTTTTATTTACTTCCTGTACAGGTTTTTCCAGTAAATGTTTGATTTTTTCTTCTTCCTCCTTGAGACGCCGCTTTTCGTCAAGGAACTTTTTAGTCTTTCTATGATCTCCGTTAGTTAGAATGTCTAACAAATCGTCAACCATAGTCAAAGTGTAATCACAGTCTTTGGCAAAGTCGAGAATCGACTCGGCATACTGAACAGCAGTCTCATCACCATAAGTTTGATAAACCAAGTCCGATTCTTCTTTAGTAAGATTGGCAAACGTCGAATCGTAACTAGGAGCATAAGAGCCGAAAGCTCCGTAATACAAAGGCTTAACTGGTTTCGACATATTCCTCCTGTCTTCCCTGAAACCTGCTAAGGCACCTGTGCCATGATGAACCTTCCCTAAAAGCTGTCCAAGTGACACAGGTCTTTGATTTGTGCCTGGAATGACACCGTCTCCTGGTACTATGATTTGAAGACTCGTTGTTCCATCTTTCTTCTGCCTCAAGAATCCCATTTTTGTGCCAACCCGTTTGAGACTCAGTCTCTCTGCTGCAGACTTGGCAGCACTACGTGCTTGTTTCAGGATCTCTTCGGGAGTCAAGTCATCTGGGATCGCTTCAAATTTACCGAGGCTTGCTAGTCTCATTTTTCTCTGATTCTCCTTTCTTAGCTCTTCTGCTTCTTCGATCTGCTCCTCTTGTTCACGTTCTTTTTCAATCTGTTCCTCAGTCATATGTGTGTCAAAATGGTTCGCTTCTTCAATACCTAGTTCAAATCCGAGTTCATCCTTTGTCAAATCTTGCATGTAGACCAACACTGACCTCAATTGTTTCAACTTGTCTGGAGTAACCATCTTTAGGCCGACGTGTAGCAACTTCTTGGCTGCTTTGTAATAAATGGTGTCCTGATGATTGTAGGTCATTGCATTGTTGCACATCAACTTGAAATCGACGATAAACTCATTGAGATTTTGGTAATTACTATCATCTATTTTTTGCTTGATTGTACTAAAATCCATAGGATGTGCAATTATTGATGAGTATCCTGGAGCAATATTGTCAGTAACAGGCCATGCAAAAAATTGCTGTGGGTCTCGTTTTTCCATCGATCTGAATAAATAAAAAAGATTTATAGAAATTAAAATGTTTTTAATCGCTGTCATCATTATATTCCAAAAAGTTATAACATACCTCAGTAAATGTTCTAGTAATCGCTGAAGAGGAGTCCTTTCCGCAATCTTTCGAAGAACACATGTGCGTGGTTCTCTGTGAGGAGATAAGCTGCTAGCTGCAGAAGTGGTGCTTCTTTGTTCATGAGAGATAATAGGCCTTGGCAGAGGTGGGTTATGACAAATTATTTTTTTTGGCACCTCCACCATACTTTCGTCTCCATCTCCAACTGAATCTTGACTTGATTCTTCTCTCCGCCTCTTTTTGTCTTTGTGATGATGTTTATGTCTTTTGTCCTTCTTCTTTTTTTTCTTCTTTAGCTTTTTGTGGCTCAGATACCTATCGATCTCCTGATCTCCTGGAGTTATAGAATAGTTGAAGCCAACCTGGTGTTGATAATGTTGGGACAACATTGCTGCCTGATTAGGTGAATCACCGCCTATGTATTCTGGAGTTCCACTGTTACCTCCAACCTTGAGAATTAATTTCAGCGCTGGAGGCTTTTCTGGTGCTGCATAGATGTCTTCAGCTGTAACAAAACGATAAAAGTTTGTTAAAAATTTAAAAAGTTTAAAGATCATCTGAAAAAGCACAAAGATCAATTAGCCAGTCTGACATGAAGTAACCTACATTTTTGACATCACCTACAACGATAAATCGGTGTTTCAACCTAAAGATAACCGTACCCGGTAAATTTATCGTGCAAAACCTCGCAAAAGCGTGTCGTGCCCTTTCGACACCATTAGTCCCAATAAGTCGCACCAAGTATATATGTATATAAGTACGCCATATGGAGAGGATAGAGTGAAAGTACAAAGCAGACTCCAGATAAGTATACAAACTGGTAATGTAAAGGTATACATGCAGGTAATGTCTGAGCACAGACTACCTACCTATACCTACCCCGTAACGGAACTAAGTGGAGGGTAAAACGGAAATGTAGGAACACACCCTAAAGAGAGATAATTTGAAGGGGGATATTGGGTATCATAAAAATAAAAGAATATCACCGCAGAGGGGACGCTATAGGTAGTAGTCAGCCCTTTAAGACACTCCGAGTAAGTAGGTACTAGGTACGCAGTACGCAAAGCGTTGCGTTGAATACTCATAGATCCCTACGTGTATCTACGTGCATGTATGTAGATGGGGTATACATATAGAGGTAGGTAGTAAGTACATAGGGTGAGCTAAGCAAAGCGGAGGAGGGTAATACTCACGGAATGACGGAAGGAAGGAGGAAAGGAAGAGAGAAAGAAAAAAAAAAGAGATCGAAGCTTGCTGGACGCTTCTTCTCTCTTTCTCTCCCTCTCAGACATACGCTGGCTGCTGGCGTCGCGATAGAAGTACGCATATACAGGTACCCATGGAGCAGCTGACGCTTTATTTACGTTATCACCATCTCTCCCCTCGCGAGGATTATCACTATCAGTTACAGTAGGTACTCTGCTGCTCTCTTCTCACCTTCGTATCTCTCGCGTCTGTGTTTCTTGTGTTTCCTCGAGCTCCGGGCGGCCTGCTCGGCCTGTACCCCGAGCCTTAATCTCTGTGGCAGCTCCAGGGTGATCACTGTACGCTGTTATGTGTTTAACTACCTATATACTCTACTCTCTCTCTCTGGTAAACGACACACTCACTGTACTTAAAACTGGACCACCCCGCACGCGCGCGCTTTCATATGCTTGTGTGTATGGGATATCTATATATAGTTTCGTGGACCAAACCAAAAAAAGTATATGCCGATGTGTGTATATGTTGTTACAATTGAAGCAATTGAGCAGGCCAGCGAGTGTTTCTTCCCTTATCTTTTCGGATTTTTGTGTGTATTCAATTGTATACGCGATAACACAACATGAACACCCACGACGATAATCCGACATACACGCGTGTTACATTACAAGTATCTACACACATGGATCTCACCATGTTATACAATATACACTATTTGGTATAATAATACATCAAACTAACACAATCGCGTCGTCCGAGTTGGTAACGGCGTTTTATCAAGTTTATTATCACTTCGTCTCACTTTTCTCGTTAAAAGAAATATGAACCAAGTATAGGTAGTTATCTATACCAATCCGTCCGCTTTCGTTACACGCGTACTTGATTATTGAATTATAGATATTCAAGTATATACTCCGAATTATCTGGTAAGTGATAGTATAGGTGTTACATTGATGGAAATCTTATCGATATAATGATTACAACAATCGCGCGGGTGTTCCAAAGGCGAACGCGCACGTTAACTTCACCGCATCAGATCGCACACAGTTGATTTTATTATCGTTGTCTCTTTTCTTTTTACAATTATCAGCCCGTACTTCGTAAGTATATATACTTCTGTTACTTATCGTGTTTATTGCAGTGGCGCTTACTATATTAACACACGCGCGCGCGGCCATTGAGACGACGGTCGTCAGCCATCAGGAGGAGAGCCAGGAAGGAGGCTCGTAAAATTGTCGTAAATGTAGGTGTATGGTATATACAGTTATACACGTGTGTTGTGTGTACAATTGGTCGTCGTCGGTCGCATCTCGCTTCCTCCCATCACGTGCATCTGCCACACTTACTATTATATATATATACATGTATATGGTTGTATACACAAGCTTTGCCTTTCGCCTTTCTCTTTTTCTCCCACCCCCTCTGCGTTCTCAAGAGTGTGTGTGCGTGCGTGCAATGTGTGTTCGAATTTGCCATCTATTTGCCGCACTTTTTTCAAGCGACTCCGTTTTTACAGAGTTTTCTTTTGTTACAAGCAAGCAGATGCTGTGGGGTGATCACTCGGATACCGGCCCTTGCACAATCCGTAATGTATATATTTTTAATGACATATTACAAGTTCACTGCAAAAATAACTTATAGTGAATTTAATAATTAGGTGAAATGATGGAAAATGCGACGAACGAAAAAAATTGTCAAGTGTTTTGATGAGTACTACAAAGGTGTTTTGTGATCAATCAAAAGTTTTCTTATTAGTTGTATTTGATGATGCATCGGTATTTTTAGTCGGAGACTTGGAAAGTTCTCTGTTCGTACATAATACATACCTACATTTAATTTTAACTCAAACTGATGAACTATACTTTTTCATGATGATTCAAATTTATGTTTTGATATTTCCTCGGATATTTCCTATAATTATAGATACGAGAGATGATGATTAATTTGAGCTGACAGGAATATTTTGTTTCAGTAACATTGATTTTTAATATTCTTTGTATTACGTGGAAGTTTGCATGTTTTTCTTGATTTTTTAATTGAAAAAGAATATTGCTGTTGGTGAGAGAAATTAAGCCGTGCAAATAATAATACATACATATATATATATGCGGCATCTCTCTGCGCTCTCATGATTTGTGTTTTCAATGGAGTCGTGTTCAGCGAAAAACCGCGAACATTTAAAACCGGCTAGTTCCGTCTGCGCAAAAAGTTTCGAATTTCACGTGTGGACGGAGATAACTGTGTGGACGAAATTAACGATTTTTTAACGACGTACTCGTGACTCATACATTAACACATGCGTGGAAAGAGAAAAAAAAAAAAAAAGGAACGAACGATCCATTGTATACACCAGGTATATGGATACATCATATAAATTACAGTCATCGGTGCAGCAGCTGCACACACGCGTATTTATACATGCACAACAATAACCGGCCTTGGCAGCGCGCCTTTCAACGTCACGTACATACACTATTATTTAGTCGCATTTCTGGTCGATGACACTTTATATCGAAAAACAACAACCAATGACCAAGTATCATACGTATAAAAGCAAAAGCGAGTACACGCGCTTTTTTTTCTCCAACTCACCCCTCGTTTATTTTCGTCGGTTACATTATGTGGGTTTATTTCCACCAATATCCGTACACGAAAAGTACAAGAAAAAAAAACACACACACAGACAAACGGTTAAAAGTTAGTTATTCATGTTATTTTATGTATTTATTGAAAAAACACTGAAAAATCCCCGCACGCATTCCGCACAGAAAGGGTAAAAAGCACTACCGCACTTAAGTACATAGGTACGCCGGCACACGCAGGTATATACTGTATACCGCAAAAGCACTGGCGTTCGCGTACATCAGCGTCCTTCGGTTTCTCTCTCTCTCTCTCTCTCTCTCTGTACGCCTCCGCTATACTTACTTGTACACTAGGTACACCCGCAGTGGCGGTACACACACGTACTCTCTCGCTCTTTGCCGTTTTTGCGCAAAAAAAAAAAAAAAAAAAAAAAAAAAAAAAAAAAAAAAAAAAAAAAAAAAA